CATAGCCCTGGCTATCCTGAAACTCACTCTGTATACTAACTAGGCTGGCCTAAAACTCACAGAGGCCTGCCTACCCCTGCCTCTCGAGTACTGGGATTAAAGGTGTGTACCACAGCTAGTAACTTGTACTTGTGGTCCCTGCACTAAGAGAGACACAGGCAGGAAGATGGCCAACATGGTCTACCTGACATGTAGGCTAGTCAGGCCTACACAGTAAGTCTGTTTCAAACCCACCGCCTCCACTGCCGCCTCTGCTGCCTCTGCTGCCGCCACCACAACAAAAACAAAAGGATGTGATAGCAGGAGAGGGAGTAGTTGGAAAGGTGTGGTTTGGACCAGAGTGACAGGAGAGAGAAAGGAGGGTAAACCTGGTCAAAACCCATCATGTATATTACTGTTAAGAAAGCCCAGAAGCCACATTGCAAGGCTGGAGGCTGGCTTAGCAGTCAAGAGGGCTTACTTCACAAAACTGAGGACCCAAGCTCAAATCCCCAGACCCACATGCATGCTTGGTGGTGTGCGCCTCTCCCTTGCTGTGTAGAATGGAAAATGTTCACTGTGGCTTGCTGGCTGCCAGCCTTGCTACAGGCTCAGCGAGAGACCTCATCTCAAGAGACTAGGGCAGAGAATGAGAGGACAGGACACCCGCTGTCTTCCTCTGGCCTCTGCCTGTGCTCAGTCAGGGGCATAGTCCTTCACCAGGTTCCCATAGAATGCATACCCGTACACACACACTGACACACGCGCATATACACGTATCGAAACAAAAGTAAAGAGTAAAACACAATATACACGGATATAAAACTGTAAAAAAAAAAGAGCAAACAAGTTTCTGTGAATGTGCTTCTTCTGCACGCATGTCTGTATACAGTTAGATGCCACTTAAAACAGGTGTTTGCTCTGAGAAATGAGCCGTGACATGATTTTGCCATTTTCAAACCTCGTGTGTGCTTACACGGCCCGCGACGGGCGCAGTGTCCCTAGGTGATGTAATCTCAGGGAAGTCCCCAGCAATAGAGTCAGATAGATGAGGCCCATTATTGGCTACAATGTTCTATCAGTTGTGACTGTGTGTAGTCACGCCCTTTAGTTCTGGTTCTCTGGGACTCCAGGTCCAGACCACAGTCTCAAAGTTATGTGAACACAGAAATTTCACGTGCTCAACATTCCTGACGGCTGCTTCTTGGTTCTTCAGGAGCATATGTCTGCGATGCCCCTCTGGAGCCCTGTGAAAGGCATAGTTTTTTGTTTGTTTGGTTTCCATTTTGATCCTGCAGAGGCCAGCAGGATGCCCTGTCTTGGGGGAAAAAATTACTTTTGAGTTTGTAAAAAGTAACGTTTAACCAGCACAGCAGCTGGGAAGTGAGGAAACCTGCAGAATAGCAGAACACCAGGGGCTGTGGAGGCAGGAGGCAGATGTTTAGAAAATAATTAATCAATCAATCACAAACCTGCTGGGTTGGCCAGTATATGCCCCCACCTAGCTCTAGGGTATCTGAGTTCTAGGTTGTACTAGACCAGGCTATGCCTTCTGTTTGGCTGATGGCCATTCCAGTGTCCGCTGACCAGGGTTACCAAAAGCTGAGTCTGCTCCTGGATGTGCACGAAGGCTCACCTGGCTTCCACACTTGCTCATATGGAGGAGTGAGGAATGGGTGTGCAGGGCAGTACTGTGCACACTCCAGGAAGCCTCTAAGCTTGTGACAATGACTGTGCTCCTGAGCACACCCCGGGTTGTTTCTCCTCTTCCCCCACCTCCTCTTAGAATTGGATAATTGTACATATTTCACAGCTTCTCTGATCTTGTTTTATAAACAAGAAGGATGATAAATCAGTGTCATCAGAGAACTCATTGTCTTAGCATGTACGACGGTTATCAGGGAACTTCTGGGAGGTTCTGCAAAGTTCCTAGTTCCCTGTGTTATGATGATAAAACTGAAACTTAGAGACGAGAAGCAAGCTGCCCAAGGTCTTGTGGGAAGCAAGCAGACAAGGAAGAGCTTAAACTGAGCCTATCCTGAGCCCTGGGGTCTGCTGTCCCAGGTACCAGGAGCTAATGAAACCATAAATTGGTAAGTAAATCCAGGACTCATTTGAATCTGACATTTGCCCTCCTTGGATAGGAGGAGGCAATGCCAGGCTTCCCTCTGTTCTAGACTTCCAGGGTTATTTGTGAGAGCCTGCTTAGCCCAGGGTCACCTGCTTAGCTTCCTGGGGCTGTTCACTCTGTCTCATCTGCCACATGTGCTTTCTGGCATACCTCTCCACCCTGCTTCACCAGCATCTCTGCAGTCACAGCTGCACAGTTCCCGGGGGGAGTGTCCATCCCCTCTCCTTCTCCAATCCCTAGCCTTCGATAGCGCTTCCATGCTGACGGACCCCAGGCTGGCCCTGGCCTTGGCATCTCTCCCAGCCTTCATTTCAACGTGTCAAATCTCTAATCAGAAGCTCTGCCCGAGGCCATGCAAGAGCTGTGAGTAGTCTCTTCTGCCATCCAAGTTCCTGTTGGTATCACTATCCCCAACATCTTGGCTTCGAGCCTGAAAGCACAGCAGTAGCTTGGCCCTCTCCCTCCCCGACTGACCAGACAGGCAGCAGCCCTTCCTTCCACATGGCCAGAAGCTCGAATCTCTGTGGAGAAGATGGCTTTGGAGTCAGAACAATGTGGATGTGAGCCTCAGTTTTGCCATTAGCTGACAGTGACTTTTAAAGACACCATCTTTATTGAGATGTGATTTCCACTGTACACATCCACCCACCTGAAGTATAAAACATGAGATTTTTTTTTTTTACTCAAGGTATGCATAAACCATCCCTGTGGGTCGTTTTAGAATATTTTCATACCCTCAAAGGAAACCTGTTCTCTCTAGCTGTCACTTTTCTTAAAAAATAAGATAGACATTTTATTTATGTGCGTTTCTCTGTTGTGCACACACACATATATTCAGGTGTTCAGGGAGGCAAGAAGGGCATCAGATCTGCAGCTGGCAGTCCTGAGCTGCCCGATGTGTATGCTGGGAATCGAACTTGTGTCCTCATCAAGATCAGCAAACACTGTCAGCTGGGCTGTCTCTCTGGATCCTAGCTGTGACATTCCTATTCCCTCTTGCCACAGCCTCACCTGACAGCCCCTCTTCTGGATTTTCTTTTTGGACACTGCACAGGAACGGCCTTATGTGACATATGATGTTTTGTGACTGGTTTCTCCCGCTGGTGTAGTGTTTCCAGGGTTCATCTGTGTTGCAGTGTATCACATGTCATTCCTTTTTTTACCGTTACATCATAGTCTGTGACATGGACGTACCTGCAGTAGGTAGGGTATTTGAGCCATTTCTACCTTTGGCATAATGCTGTCATAAACATTGTGTGCAAGCTTCCCAGAGGCATGTCTGGATTCTTGTTGGGCTTGGTAGCACCATGCTGAATTGCTCAGGGAACTGCTAGACTCTCTGCCCAAAGTGGCTGTACCACTTTATACTCTGACAGAACTGTATGAGACCAGTGCTTTCCACAGCCTTGTCTGCTCTTGACTATCTGACAGGGGTTTTAGCCGTCTTTCTACAGCAGGATTTCACTTGGGGTCTATCTTCCATTTCTTTGAAGACTAAAGACATAGACTTTTTTTTTTGGACAAGGTCTCACTCTGCAGTGCAAAATGGCCTTCGCCTTATGACCCACCTTTCTTAGGTGCTTCAGTTACAGGCATGTGCCATCATGCCTAGCAAGGACATGAAGCTTTTTATGTGCTTCCTGGCCATTGGTGTATCTTATAAGAGAACTGTTTGCTTACGAGAGACTTGACTCTGACTATGGAGATCTGTCTTCCCTCACACTAGCACACATCCGCTGATAGGTCACAGTGCAAAGGTGAACCTAGACCCCTGGGGCCCCTGGAACTGCAGACATGTGACTTATCCACAAATAGCATAAGCCACTGCACCCGGGCCAGAGAACTCAGAGTAGAGGGCCGAAGTGCTTCTGTCCCCTTTGTCTTCTTTCTCTGCCTGTCAGTTCTGGGTCTGGTTATGAAGCCTACAGCAAGCAGGTCAGTCTCAGCAGTTTGGTGTGAATGTGGAAGGTAGCTTCTGGCTTTTAGCAGGAGACTGACATCCTGGGCTAGACCCTGTCTCTCCTGACATCCTAAAAGGGAAAAAGAAATATTCAAGGTCCTGCTCTCATGATATGTGGATGTGACCTCAACTGCAAACAGGGCCTTTGCAGATGTGACTGGGGAGGATTGTGCTGGACTGGAGGGGACACTGTTACTGTTTGAATGGGACATGTTCCCACCAGGCTCTCATCCCCAACTTGCGGTGTTGTTAGGGGAAGTTATGGTGCCCACTGACCAAATTTAGTTACTGAGAACAGCTCTCTGCCCCTGGATGCAAATTGAGGATCCAGATTGCTGTCCTTTACGAGTCAGGATGCATGGATAGCCACCATGGCCTCCATGGGAGACCAGCCTAGCTGGGGAACAGGACCAGGCCAGCGGGAGCCGTAGAACCATGCCATGAGAGGAGGCCATGATCTCAGGATCTCCTTTCTCAGCTCTCAAGTCATCCACAGCTCACTTTTGTGCAGCTGTGGGAGGAAGAACTTCAGCTGCCTTGATGCTGGGGGTCGCCCCTTAGCAGCTGGGCTGACTTTCTTGTCTAGGAAGATCTGAAATAGGTAAATGTCCTGCATATCAAAAGCTCTTCAACGTCACCCCTCTGCTTACTACTAATAATTGTCTATTAAGTCTTCTCCGAAGAACCTACCCAGCACAGGGTTGTGGGACATGTCAATCAACTACATTAATCTCCTCCATCTTCTGACAGTTCCAGAGGCAACCTACGCCCGGGCTGCCAGATGTCCAAGAGCTCAGCTCTGTGTCTGTTGAGAATATCTGTCTGTGTGTTGAGAATATCTGTCACATGTGCCTGTTCAGACTTCCGTGGAAACTGTCCTGGGAAGCTGTAAAAAGAAATCTCTGAACCATGAGAGAGAGAGAGAGAGACTGATGCAGAAATGCAGGAGCTTTATTATAATCAACGTATTCTCAACTTCAAAGATTAAGAAATTCATTCAGGCAGACACGTCACCTTCAGTGACCCAGAGTCCAGACACAGGGTAGGCCCTCAGGATGCTGAACTAAAAGGGGTAGTGGAAGCTTCAGGATGTATGCAGCACAACACGGGAAGGTTTTTACAGGGGGACTTGGTGTTGCTGGCTCTAAAGTCCCTTCTTAGATTTGGTTGTGGGCTGCAGCCAAGCCTGGGTCTCTAAAGCGACCCTTGGTTCACACCATTTCAGTAATTACAAAGGAAGAGACAACACAGTCTCAGAGGCTGTGTTCTGCTCCCTGTTAAGTCCACTGCTGGGATATCAAATTGCTCACAAAATTCGAGGAGCCCATCCCTCCTTTAGCGACATGGTCTGTGTAAGTAGTCCCAGAAAGGCTGGAGGCATACATGGTGCTCACAGAGCAACCGTGAACTGTGGCTGGAGCCACTGGAGGCCACGGGGACGGCTAAGAGTACCCTCCAAGAGCAGCACTCCAGAAGGCTCGACATCTGGCTAAAGGAGCTCTTGGACTTTTCAGAAAAGCAGGGATCTCAGTCACAGACTGGGAGCAGACGCCAGCACAGCTGTCACGGAGCACACCATAGTGTTTTGGTTTTTCTTCTCCTAGCCTTGTCACATCTCTCCAAAGTGGCCTCTTCCTCTCAGGACCACGAGTAAGGACTTTAAGCGACTACTACAGTGTGAAGGACTTCCTTTCACTCGGAATTTGTCACGTTCTGCTAATGGCACTTCTAGGGGGTTCAATGACCCTTTAGTGACACTCGACTAGGGCTCTTAGAAACAAAGTTTGGGGTTCGAGCCTCTTCTAGTTTTAAATAAGGGGATCTGAGACAGCTGAGGCCCACATTGCTTTGACTTAGATTTCTAAATTTAGTAAACTGTGGAAAGTGTGGGAGTGGGTTTTGTCAGGGAAGCATCTTGGAGGTGGCGTGGGTGCTGCTGCTGCTGCTGCTGCGGGGCCAGGTCTGGGCGCCGGTCACTTGCGAGGTTGTTGGATATGCTGTGTTCTTGGAGAAACATGTTTGTCTATGGAGGCATGTGGCTTCTGGTGGGCCACCTGTGCAGCTTCTGGGGGGAAGTCTTTGTCACCCTTGGGGAGAGAGGGGGAGACAGCAATACATCAGCTGGTTAACAGTAAATGAATGGACTAGAGAGAAAGTCCTTCAAACTCAGGTCTGCCAGTTTCCTGCAGGGGTCGGGGATGAGTTGGTTGTGGAGTAGTGGACTACTACTGTGGCTAGCAAGGCCCTGCAGGCCACCAGATTGGGAGCAGACTGTGGCATGAGCCCGTACGACATGGACAGTGATGATCCGTGCAGGCTTTGCCTGAGAAGACCCAGCTGCCACACAGCGTCTCCGCACCGGCCTGGGGTGGGCAGGCTTTCCCTGCTAGATCTGTGCTTGCACCATCTGTCTCGGGAGCAACACAGACCAAATCTAGAGTCTCACAGTGGGATTTGTCAGCACAGCTGTGAGCAGGCCTGGGTACTCATGGGGAAGAAAAGCTCAGGACAGGGTGGGACCAGGAGACACAGTCGGATGCAACCTGAGGGTGCCTAGAGAAAGGGCCGGGCTATGTTCTACAGAGGGTTCAGCTGGCTTCTTATGCCAGCAATGGGTTTTGATCTGATCAACAGCAGACAGCACCATGTAACCAAGGAGTGAGAATATTAAATGAAGGTATTTAATATTCTTGCGTACAGCAAACCTGCCACCATCTGGGCCTAGGTCTAAATGGCTGTGACAGTTCTGTTAGCCATGCTGTCCCCAACAATGCTGGTTTCCTCAGACAGTGGAACCTGGACCTTGACGGAAGAAGACTCCTCAAAGGTACATGGTGTGGCATGTATAGTCCAAGGGCCAGCAAACAAAAGCAGCCCAACAGGACACAGACGCGCATGCCTGGCTGCACAATACTAAAAATGTCACTCACAAATACTCAGTTTCTTCTTCCTTAGGTCTCCTGTGTCACACCCTGTATTGATGTTGGGGAAACATTTGCAGGCCAGGCCACTTAAGGTCTTGAGCTATAGCCTGTGAGGACCAGGTGATTCTACAGCAAAGAGGCAGATGCTCAGCTGTGGGAGTCACAAGTTCCAACCTACTGAAGCACACTCTTGGAAAGAAGTGTGTCACTGAAGGAGGCCACCAGGCCCAGACCAGATGGGTGGGGTGGCACTTGTGCTTATTGAAGACAAAGGCAAGAAGAGACTGCATGGGAGTTCATGTGCCCACTCTTACAGGAACAAGCCAGGTATAGGGACCCCCCAATCCCATCCCCTCCGCCCACTGCCCATGTACAGAGGTCAAACACTTACCCGGGCAATAACACCAGAGATGAACACTGTTGGCTTAGGTGGGCTGGAAAACAGAAAGGGGAAATGAGGATCTAATGAACGATTCACACAAGGGGGAAAGAACAGAGGGATAGCAGAGGAGACCAGAGTCAGCGGTGGCGACTTCTGCCACACAAGGAACTGACCTCATCCCCTCTGTTACTTTGTCAACAACCAGGCTGCGAGGGAACTGCAGTGCTTGCTTAGGGACACTTCTGAGTTAGTCCAGGAATGAGGGTGGGAAGGGACTGCAGCAGATAGCAGCTGAATTACCCAGAAGCATCAGTGCACTTGTTGCTGAGATTGTGTGTTTATGAGACTGGAAACACAGGCTTCCCTGAAGCAGAGCAGAAGCAGCTTCACACAGGGTTTTCCTTTTCAGGGAACCCAGATGGCCATGGCTTCTGGAAATTTCTAATTGGAGAGACTCAGACGCAATGCAAACTCCTGGCCCTGCTGTCCCCTGTCCCCAAGTATCATAAAGGCAAAGTCCTTAAGAAGCCACTGCCACTTAAAACTAATAATAATATGTGTATATGTATGTTCCTGGATGACCTGTGCACCATCTGTGTGGCGGGTGCCCTCAGAGACCAGAAGAGGGTGCCAGACTCTGAAACTGGAGGACAGTATGAGCCACAATATTGGTGCTGGGCATCAAACCTAGGTTCTCTGGAAGAGAAGCCAGTGTTCTTAACTGTTGAGCCATCTCTTTTGTCTCACAACTTTAAAACAAAATGTGTGTCTCATCAGTTCTTCCATTTTACTTCATATATAGCTCCTGTCAACAGTACCAAGGGTAGAATATAGCATCAAAGTAATACATGTTCTCTGAGGGAAAAGAGACCAGCCCAAAGATACTCAGCGGCTGGAATCTCACCTCACCACTGCAATGGATCTCTTTCCCATCTTCCTACCCTTATTCATTTTTGTCTTACAAAAGCAGTTATACTGTTTTAGAATCTGTTGTCTGAACTGAGAGTTTGCTGAGTATATCTTTACATATGAGATCCTGTTATGTGCACTGAGAATACGCTGAGCATATCTCTACATCTGAGACCCTGTTATGTGCACTGAGAATACGCTGAGCATATATCTCTATATCTGAGATCCTGTTATGTGCACTGATTTTTGGAGAGATGCATGGTGCAGTTTAGAATGAGGATGCGTTGGAGGTAGAATGAGGGGCACTGTGACCTAACGTTCCCTGAAAGAGCCACGGCTGTGTTGAAGATTCCGAGTCAATGATTTTGGGCTTTCTAGTCATTTTAAAAGCCATTCATTATCTCCCCTGCACCTGTTTTAACATCCTTTGGACTATTAGATAAAACCTTTGGAACGTGTTAACTAAGCAAGACCATTAGCTTCCACCAACTCTGAAGCTAAGAACATCATCAGACAATGTCTGAAACCTACAGCAGGAATGTTTTATTGTGACTCCTGACCTGATATAATGGATAGACCCATTGTCTCAAGTGTGCATAGTGTGTGTAGAGCCTTGACTGTCACTGCTAAAGCATTGTCCACTCTCTGTCTGTTTGTCTGTCTGATACAGGGCCTCTTGCTGGCTTAGAATTTAAGTAACCTCATCTGGCTGGCCAGCGAGTCCATGAACCTGCTTGTATCCACCTCCCCAGCAGTGGGATTACCAGTGTGCTCTACCACATCTCACTACTGTACTGGGTTCTGGGACTCAGGCTCTCATGTCTCAGGCTCTCATCCTGTAAGGCAAGGGCGTTAGTAACTGGCTTCCTTTCCCACTCCAATGCATTGACTTATGACTTTCTTTTGTTCTTGGAGCTGCTTCCGTGGTAGAACAAGTCATTGGAAGCAATCTGAACTCATGTTGCTGGACCTTACCCATTTCTGTTTGTTTGGGCATAAACATTTCTTATTCCATTTGAAGCAGGAGCTGTGCTTTGTTCTGACAGCATGTGGGAAACACTCAGAGGCAGACTGGGGACAGGAGGGAAGGACAAGGTCACAGCCCCCAAGAGACTGGGGCAGAACATGAGGCTGAAAGGAGGCCCTTGGGATGTGGTCATGCTTAAGGCCAGATCTGGAAGGTAGAGGTTGAGAAAGTATCCCATGAGCATCCAGCCTGTCTCCTACAGCTCTGCTACTCATCTATGCGGAAGGAAGCCACAGTTAGGTTTTGTGTGGATGCAGATGGAGGACCTGGTATTTAGAAAGTGTACCTCTGCTTAAGTCCTGAAGACTTTAGTAAAAAGCACGTGAAATTCAAGTGAATTCTGTTGCTTCATGAGCTGAAGAAGCTTCGTCTTACCAAACAGCTCAGAAACATCCTCGGATCACTTGGCTTTGCTGAGTGCTTGTGGTGGGGCTAACGGGGTTAGGGTTTCTCTATTACACACTGCTTTAACTATAGAAAGGAGTCAGTCTGCCAAGTCCAAACCCTTTCGTGTAGTGAAGGGGCTACAGATGTGTCGTCTCAGAACATGCTGCTTACTTCTGGCACGAGCTGCAGGAAGGACACAAGCCCATTGCTCTCACATGCAGTCAGCACTGAGGAGTCTTTGGGGGAGGAGCTGATGTCCTGGGACCAAGGTGAGAAATAAATCAGAGAGAGAAAGTGGGGACTGTCAGGAGCCTAATCCCTTCCTGCATCCTGAGAAACTAACCATCCTACTCCCAAGAGCCACTGCTCCTATCTCTCATTCTGATTTCTAGGTCTTTGTTTAAACAGTACAAAAGCATCCTGGCCATGTCTTACGACGTCACTGTGGTCTGGAGAATTCATAACTTAGGGAAGCTGACCAAACTGTGCCTCTGCCTGTATGAACCTGGTTCCTCTGTCCAGCCCGAGAGGCCACAGGATAAGTGAGGGCAGACAGAGAGGACTGTGCTCAAATGCTCTGTTCTTGGGGTTCATCTGCTTCACATGCTGACCCCATCCATGGCGGCGGCTGCGTGTGTCTGGGGGATCTGAGGCTAAGAGGTCTGTGGAGTGCGGACCCAAGAGCCCGAGGGCTGTAGACTGGACTCCAACATTTTTCAATCACTTGGAAAGGAATATAAAACAGTCATCATTTTGGATGACCTTTTAAATCCCCAGGAAGAACCTGAAGTAGGAGCAGTATGATAATTAATTAATTCCATGTCATTGTTCCCTAAGGTGAGTCTGTGAACTCAGTGTCCAACTGCTGCAATCTTTCTTGCTTTTGATTTATTTTCTAATATGAGTCAAGGCACCCGAAGGCAAGAGCAAACTCAGCCCCTTCAGCAGAACTGCACAAGAAAGTCATCCTGGCAGTGCATCTAGAAAGAATTTGAGTATGTGGCAGAGACCATCCCTCAGCCAGAGTCCTATGAGCTGGAAGCCTAAAAACCTCTGTATTTACACACACACACACACACACACACACACACACACACACACACACACA